CCCCACCATGTTGCTGGCTTTAGCAGGGCTGTATGGAGACCATTGCCTAGATTTAGACCAGGGCTATTCAGACTTCATTCCCTTAGTTTAGTTGCCAGCTTCCAAGCTGCTCTCTTGAACTGGGAACTCCAACAGGTGGAAATGCCATCTGTGCACCTGCCCCACAGCACCTCTGGTCATGGGCCACATGGTATGCTCAGCACCTTGCCCAGCCCATGTCCATAGCCAGCCAGCCCCACTCACACAGCACAGCTCTGGGAGAAGAGCCAGGGAGAAGTCTGGGGAAGCAAAAACAGGGATGGAGCCACGTGGCAGGCCCACATGACTCGTTTGGGTGCTCAGACTGCACTGTGGTGAGCACCAAGCCGGGGGTGTAGCTGGGCTGTTAAAGTCACAGTGCAATGAGGGCTGAATTCTGCTCCATGGTCCAGATACGAATTTAGGGCCAATACCACTCTGTGCAGTGGGTTCCCCCCACAGATCAGTGGGTTTGCTTGGGTTACCTCTTAAGTCCCCTATCATTGCTATCAATCTAGCATCTTCTAGGCACCCCTCAAACTAGACTGAGGGTCCACAAAGCGGGTGGCGTTTCTGCCTCCTCTTCTGGGGTTGCTGGGATGGTTCTCTGCTCTTCTCTGGGTTGGAGAGGGAACAAAAGAGACAGCTGCTCCTCTCCCCACTTTTTGCTTCCTTTTGGTAGCTGGGGGTGCTGCTGCTGCTGAGGCTGGCGAAGGCTCTGCAGCATGATATGGAGGTGGGGAGGTCTCTGTCATGCTCAGCACCTCCAGGACGAACTCCGTGTTGTTCTCCATTTTCCATTAGGGGAATATTTCTCCTTGGGCTGCTGCTATTTCTGACCTGTGTGCCTCCTCCTTCCCCATCCTCCTTTTTCTGTTTCTCTTCCCTGCCTTGTCTTTGTGTCTCTCCTTCTTTCTCCCCCCTCCCTGTTCCTTCCCACAGCAACTCCCAATTCCCCACTCCCCTCCACACCCAGGGGCTTCCCTTCCATTCCTTTCTCTAGCCCATCTGCTAAACAAGCAGCGGCAAAGCACTTAGTGTTGATATTTAGAGCATCAGCACTAGGCTCTAGGGCAGGGGTGGCCTCAGAGTGTGGCCACAAACTCTTACTCGTGGCTGCTCTCACACTTTTCCCTAAAATACTTAATTAGTTTTAGGAAAAACAAATAAATATGCACATGTACACGTCCAAATCATTGTAATTTATTTATTGCTAGCTAGTAAGTCTGTTGTGAAAAGTGATATTAACAAACATACAAGTAGCACTTTTCACAGCAGACTTATTCAGCCCTGGCAAGTTTGGGGACAAATTAAGCCCTGGATGGGAGGTCAGGGAGGCAGCGGGGGCCAGGGAGGCAATGGGGGGGCCAAAGCTCCATCGCCGGAGGACAGAGCCTGAAGCCATGCACCTGGAGCTTGGGGCCTGCTGCCGTGCAGCCAGAGCCTGCCACCCTGCCATCCCAGGACTGAAGCCCAAAGCCTGAGTCCCACTGCTCATGGGAAGATGGGGAACTCACCAGCTGCTCCTCTAATGTTGTGCCCCAGGTGTGTCCAGAGGGGGGCTGGGCCCCACCCCTGCTTACAGACCCAGCAGCCAACACCAAGGCAGTGCATCCAGGAGCACCATGAAGCGGGAGGGAGAGCCCTGGAACTGCAGCAGGGAAAGGAGCAGAACACGCCCACAGGAACTGCAGCAGGAAAAGGAGCCCCACACCCACAGCTCCTCCGGTGCGGCTGTACTGCCCCCAGCTCTGTTCTCTGGTGGGGCTGCTGTACAGACGGAGGACACCTTGCGTGGAAGGGCTGGGGGCGGTACGGCTAGGCCGGAGCTGCCAGCGTGGGGCCACCCAATGGCCCCATGTTCTGTTGCTCTTCTTTCCAGTACGCCATACCACCTATAAATATCTTGCTGGTACAGCATACCATACCGTAGCGTACCGCCCTACTTGCACTGCTGATCCCCACCCAAATGATCACTTCTCATTCACTATTGAGCTGTCAACGCTCTCCTCTGATTGGCCCACGATCCCAGCCTCCATCACCACTTGTTATATTTTGAAAGGAGCCCCTTGTATGTTTTCACCCGGGCTGCCTCGTGCTTGGGCAGAGCTCCCCATGAACACCCCCTGCGCTACCTCATTATTCTCCTTCAAAACCCTCCTTTGCCATGCGATGCCTACAAAAACCTGATGACAGTCAGGAGGCTGGTGTGCTGTGCCGACTGCCCAGCGTGTTGCCCAGTGCTGTCTCTTTCTTTCCTAGCTGATTGGTCTGTAGACGTTTCCTGTTGTCTTGGACTTCGAGTTTCTGAGCTCTTTGGGACAGGGACTGTCTTTGTGTTCTGTGTTTGTACAGCACTAGCCCAGTGGGGTCCTGGTCCAGGCCTGAGATTCCTGGGCACTAAGAGAATGCAATTAATGATCAGAGCAGGGTTATCAGAAAGGGGACACGCTTCAGGCCCTTACAGCTGGTGCCAGGCTTGGAGATAGGAGTGTCTTCCGCAGAGCCTGGAGGAGCCCCATTGACAGTGGCTGTCTTTGACAAGAATGGTTCCAGTCTCCTGGGGTGTGAGCTGGTGGGGCCTGTTGTCCCTTAGCCAGGCAGCTCATCCACACATTGTTCCCTTTACAGTTTTGCTTTTGTCAGCAATTTTCTCGCTTGGGCCATTAGGGATCTCCTTACACGAGAGACATCTGAAGCATTCCAAGGGGCAAATGGATTCCTTCTGGCACTCCTTCCGGTGTCTGTAAATTGCTGCAAATAACTAGCCCAAGTCTCTAGAAAAATTGTACCTACCTTTCTTAGTTTCATAGAGTTTAGGGGACCATCAAATCATCAAGTCTGGCCTCCTGCACCCAGACACCCCTATACTGAGTCAAAAGACTTTAGTTAAACCAAAATGTTTCAGGCCTCAGCAAACTCAGCTGTGCGCACCAGGCATAGAACAGTAGAAAATGCCTGAGGCCCCTGCAATGGGAGAGAGGCTAGCCTGCTGGCCCCGCCAGTTCTGCCTGAGACCTCGCCCCCCACATGCCATAGCCTTGAGGGCCCCCCCTCAACCAGAGGGAGCTGGAGCCCCAGCCCGCCTGCCCCAGCCGCCCTGGCTGGCTGGCCCCACCAACCTGGCCCCAATGCCAGGCCGGCCCCAGCACTGCTTTTTTTGCCTCTGTCTTCACGAACAAGGTCAGCTCCCAGACTACTGCACTGGGCAGCACAGCATGGGGAGGAAGTGACCAGCCCTCTGTGAAGGAAGAAGTGGTTCGGGACTATTTAGAAAAGTTGGACGAGCACAAGTCCATGGGACCAGATGCACTGCATCCGAGGGTGCTAAAGGAGTTGGTGGATGTGACTGCAGAGCCATTGGCCATTATCTTTGAAAACTCATGGCGATCGGGGGAGGTCCCGGACGACTGGAAAAAGGCTAATGTAGTGACCATCTTTAAAAAAGGGAAGAAGGAGGATCCTGGGAATTACAGGCCAGTCAGCCTCACCTCAGTCCCTGGAAAAATCAGGGAGCAGGTCCTCAAGGAATCAATTCTGAAGCACTTAGAGGAGAGGAAAGTCATCAGGAACAGTCAGCATGGATTCACCAAGGGCAAGTCATGCCTGACTAATCTAATTGCCTTCTATGACGAGATAACTGGCTCTGTGGATGAAGGGAAAGCAGTGGACATGTTGTTCCTTGACTTTAGCAAAGCTTTTGACATGGTCTCACAGTATTCTTGCCAGTAAGTTAAAGAAGTATGGGCTGGATGAAAGCTTGCTAGACTGTCGGGCTCAACGGGTAGTGATCAATGGCTCCATGTCTAGTTGGCAGCCGGTATCAAGAGGAGTGCCCCAAGGGTCAGTCCTGGGGCCGGTTTTGTTCAATATCTTCATTAATGATCTGGAGGATGGTGTAGATTGCACCCTCAGCAAGTTTGCAGATGACACTAAACTGGGAGGAGTGATAGATACGCTGGAGGGTAGGGATAGGATACAGAGGGCCCTAGACAAATTGGAGGATTGGGCCAAAAGAAATCTGATGAGGTTCAACAAGGACAAGTGCAGGGTCCTGCACTTAGGACGGAAGAATCCCATGCACTGCTACAGACTAGGGTCCAAATGGCTAGGCAGCACTTCTGCAGAAAAGGACCTGGGGATTACAGTGGACAAGAAGCTGGATATGAGTCAAGAGTGTGCCCTTGTTGCCAAGAAGGCCAATGGCATTTTGGGATGTATAAGTATGGGCATTGCCAGCAGATCGAGGGACGTGATTATTCCCCTCTATTCGACATTGGTGAGGCCTCATCTGGAGTACTGTGTCCAGTTTTGGGCCCCACACTACAAGAAGGATGTGGAAAAATTGGAAAACGCCCAGTGGAGGCCAAAAAAAATGATTAGGGGACTGGAACACATGACTTATGAGGAGAGGCTGAGGGAACTGGGATTGTTTAGTCTGCGGAAGAGAAGAATGAGGGGGGATTTGATAGCTGCTTTCAACTACCTGAAAGGGGGTTCCAAAGAGGATGGATCTAGGATGTTCTCAGTGGTAGTGGATGACAGAACAAGGAGTAATGGTCTCAAGTTGCAGTGGGGGAGGTTTAGGTTGGATATTAGGAAAATCTTTTTCACTAGGGGGATGGTGAATCACAGAAATGTGTTACCTAGGGAGGTGGTGGAATCTCCTTCCTTAGAAGTTTTAAAGGTCAGGCTTGACAAAGCCCTGGCTGGGATGATTTAATTGAGGATTGGTCCTGCTTTGAGCAGGGGGTTGGACTAGATGACCTCCTGAGGTCCCTGATATTCCAACCCTGATATTCTATGATTCTATGATTCTATGGATGTCCAAGGAGTGCTCAAGGTCTTTGATTTAACTTTCCAACTGATACTTTTTTTTTATGAATCACACAACCAGTAACCAGCATGCTCAGTAACAAAATCAACTCTTCTTTATAAGTAGGACACGCAACTGCACTCGGATGATGCTCTCTGAGGCCAAGACCTGAAGGAGCAGGTGGCCATGGTTGAGCACAGAGCTAACCTGTTGCAGGGAGAAACTGAGGAGCTAAGGACAGCTCTGGAACAGACAGAGAGGAGCAGGAAAGTGGCTGAACAGGTGCTCATGGACAACACTGAGTGCGTGCAGCTCCTGCATACCGAGGTAGCCCACATTGCAGGGCTATACACATTCATGGTTCTACAGAAACACAGAGTAATAACCAATAATAATTCCAGGATCTTTTCATATCCTTTCCCAGGTCAAAGGATCAGAGACTCAAGAGCTACTTCAGTCTCTCTCTTTTGTAGAACACCACCCTTATGAGTACAAAGAAGAAGCTGGAAACCGATATTGCCCAAATCCAAAGTGAGGTGGAGGAGGCTATTTAAGAGGCAAGAAATGATAAAGAGAAAGCAAAGAAGGCAATTACAGATGTAAATGTTTCATTTCATTTACTTCTTTTACAGTTTAGCATTTGCCCTGTGTGCTGTGAGATAAAGTGTGTGGTGTCAGAGTCTAGATGAGAGATCTGTCTGCAGCCTTGTATAAAGATGCAGGAGGTCACACGAGGTAGTGGGGCTGGCGTGCCAGGGATCAATGCAGCCTTTAGCAGTTTCACAGAATCACAGAAATGAAGGGCTGGTGGGGAACTCAAGAAATTATTTAATCTGTTCCCCCGCAATGAAGCAAGATTAAGTAAACCTAGGCCATACCTGACAGGTGTTTGTCTAACCAGTTCTTAAAAACCTCCAATGACAGAAATTCTACAACCTCACTAGGTAACCTGTTCTAGAGTTTACTATCCTTATAATTAGAAAGTTTCCCTAATATCCAACCTGAATCTCGCTTGCTGCAAACTAAGCCAATTATTTCTTGTTCTACCATGTGAACATGGAGAACAACTGATCGTTGTCTTCTTTACAACAACCTTTTACCAGTTTGAAGGCTGTTATCATGTCCTCCCTCAGTCTTCTCTTTAGACTAAATTCAAGACTCCCTTTCAAGCTTTCCTTGTGTGTCATGGTTTCTAAACCTCTCATCATTTTTGTTGCTCTCTTCTGGACTCTTTCCAATTTGCTCATATCTTTCTTAAAGTGTGGTGCCCAAAGCTGGACACAGAACTCCAGCTGAGACTTCACCAGTGCTGAGTAGACTGGAACAATTACCTCCAATTTGTGTGAGAAATAAAACCCAAACTGAGTACCTGTACTGAGCCCACAGGTTCCCAGATCAATATAAGTGTTTCTGTGTAATAAGTGCAGGGAGAGGTTACTGCTGTTCTACAGAATAGTACATACCACTAAGGAACAATTTGTGTTTAGTTACAAAAGAGAAGTTAAATCATAAATATTATTAAAAACATAGCTAAGGCCAACATATTAGTCTGGAAACCCATAACATCTCCAGGGGCAGTCAGTGAATGTTGCTGATACTTGGATTCAATTCATAAGGAAGACAACCCAGAAGAAAGGAGATAAAAATATTTACACAATTTAGAAATAACAGTCCCTTGTGGCTTCACAGAATAGCAGGTTAAATATTCAGCTAACTCGTGCACTTTGTACTGTGCACCTAACAACGGCCATCACCTTCCCCAAGAACTAGTTGCCTTGAACAGCTTACAAAATACTTCCTGTCCATATGTAGCTAGTATCACCTCTTTAGGCAGCTAATATACCTGTTGAGCTAAGCTCTGCTGGTGAAGCTCCTAAGCAGCTAGCCCTTGTTCTGAAGTTAGGGGCTTGTGGTGCTTAGGGATGCAATTATTGACCTAGCACTTGTGTGAGGCACAGCCATTCCTACACATACAGCTCAGAACTTCGTGGAATTTTGTATTGCGTTTTGCTGATCGCTTCTCGGCCTTTTGGCTAAGATTAAGTGTCTTAATAAAATTATTAGATCCTATCAACTCATTGTACTCCACACCTGAACATAGCCATTATATGAACAACATACCCCCCATATCTCAATGTCTGTACTTTGACCCGTTAAACTTTTACCCCCAATCGGGGAGACTGCAGATTATGTATTCCTTATGCCACCCGTTCCTAAACCAAATTTCGCACCCCTTGATAATCTGTACCTTATTCCCTGATAACCAGAAACCTCTATGCTTAAACTCTGTACCGTTTTCTTTTTACTTCAAAATCATCTTAATAAAATTATTAGACCCTGCCTGTGCAGCTGCAAGCCCCACTCCAGAGCCTGGCAGCTGAGCCACAATGCCATCCAGAACTGCCTGGTGAAAGCCATCGCACTTCGCCTGGGGGAGGTCGCTGTGAACTGCGCCATCCCCGGTACTGACAGCCAATTGTGACCTGACGTAGTAGTCACCAGCAAGGCCCAGAAAAAGATCATCCTCGTCGACGTCACGGTCTCCTTTGAGAACAGGACCCCGGCCTTCTGCGAAGCCCGAGCTCGTAAGCTGGAAAAATACGCCCTTCTGGCCGACACCCTGAAAGTGAAGGGCTACGAGGTGCAGATGGATGCCCTGATCGTCGGAGCCCTGCGTGCCTGGGACCCCTGCAATGAGCGTGTGCTGTGGACCTGCAGCATTGGTTGATGCTACACATGGCTCATGCGGTGCCTCATGGTCTCGGACACCATCCGATGGTCCAGGGACATCTACGTCGAACACATCACCGGCCCCTGACAGTACCAGGAGGTGTGAGCTGGTACGACATCGTGCATCAACTATGAGAAAGGGAACGAGAGACTTTTTCCATTGGACCATATGAACTGGAACCATAAACTCACTGAACATTAAATCTCACCAGATGAGGGTAAATCCACCCTCATCATTGTATCCACTCATTATACTTCACACCTGAACATAGCCATTATATGAACATACCCCCATATCTCAGTGTCTGTACTTTGACCCTTTAACCTTTTACCCCCAATCGGGGAGATTGCAGATTATGTATTCCTTACTCCACCTGATCCTAAACCGAATTTTGCATCCCTTGATAACCTGAACCTTATTCCCTGATAACAAGAAACTTCTATGCTTAAACTCTGTACGTTTTCTTTTTACTTCAAAATCATCTTAATAACATTATTAAATCTATACTTATCAGTTTAATATCTGATACGTCCTCTATCTGAGGACTATATATTAAATGAATTGCACTTTGTAACTTTAGAGTCAGTTCTTTTCAAGTGTAGCTGTATTGCTCACTAAGGCCTATTATGATATATTCCCTGAATTTCCCTGGAGATCGTCTGAGCTTTGGAGACCAAAATGTGAGGCTGCACACACCCTAGTTTTGTTTTAAATAACATTTATATTGTTTTAAATCTTTTCCGCAACCTCAAAGGTAATCATAAAAACTGTCCGTGTCTCTGCATGAACAATGTATGCACATATACAGTATACACACATATTGACAAATTCTACACACCCTGTGAGTAGAGTTCATTTGATTGTGCAAATGCCCTGCTTCCATTATCACTACTGTAGTATCCCCGCTCTATCCCATTGCAAGTGGAAGGTCACAGTAATAAGCATTCAGCAAGCAGCTAATAAGGTAACAAGAATCCTGTGGCTGGAGTCATAAGCAACCCCTCAGACTGCCTGTATCTTTGTATCTGTTTGTCTGAGTCCCTTACTGAGTTCATTGTGTGGTTTACCTTCCAAGGCAGCCATGATGGTGGAGGAGCTGAAGAAGGAGCAGGACACCAACACTCACCTGGAGAGGATGAAGAAGAACCTGGAGCAGACGGTGAAGGACCTGCAGCTCCATCTGGATGAGGCAGAACAGCTGGCACTGAAGGGTGGCAAGAAGCAGCTTCAGAAGCTGGAGTCCAGGGTATGTGCTTGAGCTGAAGGCTGGTGGTGACGAATACAATTTCAACCTCTCCCTCCTGTAGTAGAGTTGGTGCCTAATTTCTCATTTACTTCCCCAGATCCAAGAGCTCGAGTCCAAGCTGGAAGGAGAGCAGAAACAAGCTGCAGATGCCATCAAAGGCATTTGGAAATATGAACGGTGCATCAAGGAGCTGACTTTCCAGGCAGGTGCAAAAGAGAAAATCCACCTGAAATGTTTTTTTCTCATCAAAAACGTAAAGGTAAACTGGCATGGTCTCTTTTCAATAGGGTGAAGAGAACAAAAAGAGGTTACAGGACTTAGTGGATAAACTTCAGTTGAAAGTCAAATCCTACAAGAGAGAAGTTGAGGAGGCTGTGAGTCATTTAACAGGAAGAAACATTCATTTACAATTTGCCGAGATACCCACTTCAGCTCTGATACTGGATGCCAGGATGTCACTTCTCCTTGGGCTTAGTTCCTTTTGTGTTTTGGTTACAAGATACACAAGTCAATGTTCACCTCTCCAAATTCAGGAAAGTACAGCATGAGTTGGAGGGGGCTGAGGAACAAGCAGATATTTCTGAGTCTCAGGTCAATAAGCTTAGAACTAAGACCTGAGAAGTTACCTCCAAAAAGGTAAGCCATTAATGTTAGATGCAACTGTGCAGTTTGCACTGAATGCCTGAAGGTGGTTAAGTTGTCTTAGAAATCACAGCTATGCTCACCAGTAAGATAGACTCCAGGCTTCCCTATGACAAACAAAGCTTTTATCTTTTATCTTGGTAGTGTCATCGGTATGGCCAGTGCTCAGAAGCTACCTACAGAAGAGGGGTAGAAATAACATGATCACCCTAAAAATGCCTAATGTAACTTCCATTTCAGTAACTGCTGCCTCCCCATAATTTACCTTAACATATTCTGTATGAGTACCTGGTCAAAGCTGCGTTGCCAGTTTCATTTTCCTTTTTTTCTACACTGCAGCCCTTTTTTGCTTGCATTTTTCATAGTATCTCCTACTTGCTTTCTTCTTCCCCGTCCAACCTTCTTAGCCCCTTTTCTTCTGAACACGAGGCAGTGGATGGGAGGGACTGACCCCTAGTGGAGCCTACCCACGCTGCTCCTTTAATTCCCTCACCTCTTCAGCACTCCCAGGGCACTAGAAAACCTGAGCTGGTAGAGCTGAGCGAATAACTGATTTCTCAGTCCAAGTTTCACCCTGAAAAAAAACCTGGCTCAGGGGCGGAAATGAAAACCCAAAAAATAAATTGTTTTGGGTCAGGTGAATCTTTCCTTTGACCCCAAAGGTGGGTTTTTTTCAGTTTTTTATTTAGTTTTCAGTTCTTTGAGGGTGTTTTTCACCCCCTTTTTGTTCACACTTTTTTTGCTGAATTTCTAAATGAAACACCATTTTAAAATGAAGAAAACGTTAAATTGAAACCAACAGTATTAATTATAATAATTATAATTATAATCATATTATATTTATTATATATTATGTTTATATAATGATTATAATCACAATCATAACTATATTATATTTATAATTATATTGTGATTGTATTATAATTATAATTAATAATATATTATTATTGAAAACAATAAATTGAAAACAATAAATTGAAAAAAATTTCAGCTTTTTTTGAAGAACAAAATGTTTTGCACAAAACTATTTGCTGGATTTGACCTGAATTTGTGAGTTTCTGCCCTGGAAAATGCATTTTTAAGTGAATTTATTATTTGCTGGAAAATTTCTACTCATCTGTAAGGGCTGGATATTTCCCACAAGGTTACTGTTATAGCCCCACAGTTTACCCTTCTACTGCTCATTTTTAGGGATGGATTTCAACAGTAGCCTGTATAATTAGGGTTATAATTTTATGACTGAAACTATTTAAAGTACTAAATCCTGCCTTTGCATGCTCATTCAGGCAATTACATTTGGAATGCTGGCAGTTACGTCACATTTGCATGCCCATTCAGGCAGTTACAGAAGCTGTCACAGAATCACTGACATTAGAAATTTAAAAGACCCATTAGGTTCACGCAGTGCATCTCATGGGGGCCAGGGCAGGATTATTCCCAAGTGATGGAACTTCCTCTACTGCCCTGTGGAAGTTATTTCACAGCCTAATAGATCTCATTGTTAGAAACCTTGTCCTGCTATTTAGCTGAAATTTTGCCTTAACAGAAGTTTTATGAAAAATGGTCTTTTTGCTAACACACCAGAATGGGACTCAGGACAGTCAGGTTCAAATCTTGGCCCTACCACAGGCTTTCTGTGTGATCTTGGGCAAGTCACTTAGGACTATATTCAGAAGGGTACTTAGGTGCTTAACTCCCAGTTTTAGGCTCCACTGCAATGCACAAAACTCCTGTCAAACCCTGTCAGTGCTAAATGCACTCAGAGCCAATATGTTCAGGGTAAAAATTCCTTGGTGCCTAGGAGTCTGTTTCTGGGCATGTGCCTGGACACCTGTCTCCTGCCTAAGCCACAGAGTGATTCAGGAACGGGGGGAGGAGAGGCGTTCGACTGCCTATTCTCTGTACGGGGCCTGATCCAGGCTGAGGCTGGCTGCTGGATCAGGTCCCATTCAAAATCCAATTGCCAGAGAAGGAGGTGGTGATAGCAGTGCCTACCTTATGCCGTTTACCTCCGTGGTTAGAGCACTCACCTGGGATGTGGGGTACCCAGGTTCAGTTCCTTCTTAGGGGAGAAAGATTTTGAACACAGGTTTCCCTCCACTTAGGAGAGTGCTCTAACCACTGAGCTATGGACTAGGCTGATATGGGGCACTCTCAGTCTCTCCTGCTGAAGCTGTTCCACTGTGGATAAATAATTAAATGATCAGTGGCATGCTCAGATACTATAGTGATGAGTAGCACTCTAGAAAAGTCAACAAATTATTTTCTCCATTACATTCCATCTCTCCTAGGGTACCACACTCAATAACTCCCCCCCCCCCCCCCGCAGCTGCTTACACCATTCAGAAACTCATAGATTGCAGTTCTATTTCCTCCTGCTGTCTCTTAGCAAAGCTAGACAGTTCCATCCAGCCTCACTGTGCTCCCCTGTGTGACTTTTGAATATGCAAACAAGTGAATGCAACAACACTTGCAAGTGCCATTTTAGAAATTGGCTGAGGGCAGCTGCAAATCCAATCTTAATGTCTAAAAGGAATAAACAATGTTTCTCTCTTTCTAGGTAGTAATAGAAAGGGATGAGTGAGCTTCCTTCAGGACAGAAACAGGAAATATGCATAATGTATATTTCCCCTGTTGCTGACTGTTTGTAGCTGTTGTGTGATCATCCCTCTCTTACACTTACAGAAAATAAAGTTCCCTTTGCTTACAGAGATGACCAGTTTCTTCTCTCTGTCTCGCTGATGTACATGTGTCAATAAAGCAGTTATTTACTGTTTGAGTTGCTCAAAAGTGACTTCTGGGGAGAGTATGGGGTTTTTTTGCACGCAGAATTCATTTCATTGCTTTACTTCTGCATCCCTCCACCAGAGAGCAGTCCAGGTGCAGTCTGTGAGCAGAGAGCCATCCCGGCTTTGGTTCCCAGGAAAGGGACACTGTTATTTCCAGGAAGTTCCAAGATGATGCTATATGGTCATGTACCTAAAAGAAATTTATCGAAACTGCTGCTCAGGCTACCCGACTCCACAGTGTAGCATCACCTACACAGCTGATTCGTTGTAGTGTGGCCAGCAGAGCAGACACGAGACACAAACTTCTGCAGCTATTCACTACTGTATGAAAGAGCAATGAAGAAATGGCTCTTTTTTGGGATTCCAGAGGTTTTCAGGAGTGAGAGATCTAACAAGGCCAGTTGGCAAGTGGCAGAAGTCTCAGCATACACTCCCCTTTCCATTAACCTTTAGAGAGCCTGCCTCACTACTGCAGCCATAAAACCCGTAAGTGCCGCCTCAGCTGTCTCTGCACTCTAGTTCCTTGGTCAGGAGTCAGAGTGGCTTTGTTATATCACTGAACGTCTCCCTGCCATTGAGGTTTGCTAGTCCTAGACCGTCTACAACTTTAATGATCCGATGGGGTAATGCGGGGGGGCTGGAACAATTTTTATAGTGGGGAGCTGAGAGCCACTGAACCAAACTGTAAACTGGGTATATAATGGAAACCACTTCAAGACAGGGGGTGCTGCAGCCCCCCCTGCACCCTTAGTTCCAGCAGCTATGTTGTGATGTACTCTACAGGGGCAACACCTATAAACCACTCCAGACGTCAGCTGGTGCAGGATGTGACTGCTGGGAATAAATACCTCTGCTGCCAAAGAACTCCACTGGCTTCCCAGTGATCTCCAGCGATGGTGGTCTGTGTAGTGTGGCTCCTGGTATCTGAGAGCCATCACTCTCTCTCTCCCCTACCCAGGGGCTCTGCTAGAGCTGGTCAAAACACAGAATTCCCATTCTGCGGGAAATTCCAACACTTTGAAACTTCCTTTCATCCCAAATTGGAATGAAAATCACAGTTTTGAAATGTTCTACTAAAGGACAGCTCAGAAAAATTAAGGTAATATTGAAATGACTTTAACAAAACAGTGGTGTTGTAGCTGTGTCGGTCCCAGGTTATTAGAGAGACAAGGTGGGTGAGGTAATATCTTTTATTGGACCACCTTCTGTTGGAGAGAGAGCCATGGATCCTACACATGCCTATCACAACATGTGATGTACCTCATCCAGTGGATTTACTACCTAATATGTGGGTCGAACCAATCGCTATGCTCTCCAATGAACTCACCCAGGAAACTGATAAAAGACAAAACCACCCTATCACTGTGGGTGAACACTTTTCACAAAGCGATCACTTTGTGTCTGACCTCTCAGTGTTCATCCTCAAAGGAAACCTGCACAACACTTGAAAAGGTGACACTGGATTTATGGCTTGTTACAACAATCTGTAACCTGCTAACCCCCCCTTTTTGACCTATGACTGCAGAGGTGTCTCTACCTTGAATGGACCCTTATAGTATGTGCTGACGACTTATGCTAAACAATCTGTTCCACCTTGCATTTTGCTGTGATCTGGGAGTACCTTTCCCAGACCTGAAGAAGAGCTGTGTGTGTCTGGAAAGCTTGTCTCTGTCTCTCTCACTAGCAGAGGTTGGTCCAATAAAAGATATTATCTCCCCATCTTGTCTGAACAAAACACTTTGTTTCAAAGACGTTGAAGCACTTTATTTTGATTCTATTAGCGTTACCACCAAACATCTCGATTTAGTCAAATCAGCATTTTCTGACAGAGAATAGTTTTATCGGAAAATTGCCAACCTACTCTAGGCTTTACCTAGATTTCATCCTCTTGGGGCTGGGAGCCGAGCGTGCTCAGGAGAATTCTCTGCTCTGATGCTCAGTAGCCCAGTGCATCTGCTGCAGCAATGGGGCCCACGTGGATTATCTTTCAGGGTATCAGTGCCAGGTTTGACTTTCTGTCTATATTCTCAGGCTCTGGAGGTTGAACGTTTATTTATCTGAGGGAGAGTCCTGATGAGGTTCAAAGAGGACAAGTGCAAGGGCATCCTTTTGTCTCTTATAAAATGTGCACTAACAAGTAACCAAGCAAAGGAAAAAGAAGGGTTTGCCCTTGTTGGCTTTATCACCTAGAAAGAAGGACTGATTTTTTTAAAAAAATGTTGTTTGTAGAAAAAGCAGCAACATCATCATGTCTTCCCCTTTTTGCTGGAGACCTCTTTGGAAGACCCAAGAGCTAAGTAGGAGATTTCTCAGCCCTTAACTGAAGGGGCAGGAGGTGTTGAATCTGTAACACAAAGCTTTTCTCCCTAGTATTTCTCAGACATTTGAGTTAAACAGGTGACAACAAAACCAAAGACTTGTAAACAGCCCAACTAAAAATCCCTTCCCTAATCATGTGCTCAGTTTCACTTCCCTGGCACTTTTGATGCCTCGTCCCACTGGCTCTACATAGAGAATTCCAGGCAAGGCAGGGCTGACAGAATCCGAAACTAATGTAGAACACAAGCAGAAAACCCTTATATGTTTTGTTATTGAAACAAACCTTTCTGGCCCTTGTCTCCATACCTTAAGAGCGCACAACGCGAACTCAGTCTTTTACTCTTAGCAGGTCACCTTTGTTAAGGCTCTCTTGCCCTTGCTGCTGCTTTCCTCCCTGTTTTTGACTGCAATAAAGTGGTTTTGTTCTGTGAGATTCCCTGGCCCTTCACCCCACCTGGCTGCAGCACACGCACCCCTGGGACATGGAGGTTAGCACAGTGTAGAGGGTGAAATAGTAGTTGGGGCCTGTGGTTGGGCAGCACAGCCGAGGCTTCAGTACAGCTCCCGCCATACAGGAGAGAACTAGTGTCTCCAGTGAGATCAAATAAGTACCTGTGGTCTGTATTTTTCAAACGGAAGCTGGGCTTTTCCGTGGGCCTATTGCGCTTACT